TGGAATTCTAAATGATGAGGAAGGAGGTTGAGGAGTGCTCCCAGTCAAGTGTATGGTGGTGAACTACTGTGTGGGCAGAGGTGCCATTCACTGAGGTGGGTGACCCTGAGGACCATGGCTCCTGGAAGGTGGATGGCTGGGCAGGCTGGAGGGCCAGTCTGTAATTACTATTCAGCATAGCCATAGCATAGATTTACAGCCTGAGAAACCGTGTAGGGTAATTAGTGTTGCAGTCAGCTTGATGGCAGTGGATCTGATCGTGGCCCTCTTGCTCTTTGGGCTCTGAACTACTTGAATCCAATGACTTACAGACAGTTGAACAACCTACAGGATGATCTGGAGAAGCTTTCAAATCTCTGCTAAATGAAATTGTTTCTAGTGAGCTATCTAATTATATAATTTCATCTCAAAAACAGATTGCCTATTAAAAAACAAAGAAACACTGCCTCGTGTGCTACAAAGCTTACTCAAGAGTCTTGGTGACCCCTGTATGTCATGATGTCATTGAGGCTGAGTTACAGTTGAAGGACCACTTCTACTTTAGACCTCCCTGTTACACCACTTTTGGTTTTGTAGAACACTGGCAGAAAACAGAGAAGAGAAGAAAAAGCCCCAATAAAAATTAAAATGTTACACAGTGCTTTACTTCTGGGAGTTTTTGTAGCAAGCACCCAGTCAATTGCCGAATGTTCTGTTTTTCACTTTGCCTCAAAAGGCTTAATAATAACATCAATAATAAAATTACAACACCACAATTATATTGTTAGTTTATTGCTTACTTTAAAAAAGATTAGAAGTAGCCAATGAGAAATAAAGAGAACAGCCCAAAAGGCAGATGATGAATATCAAACAAGAAATAAAAATTCTAGTCATTTAGGATCATTCCCTGCCGTGGCAAATCCTATGCCTGGCAGAATCCCTTAATTCAGATTGGTCATAATATTCCAGTTGAAATATAAACTATGCCTGAAGGTAACAGTTCAAATTATTATATTTGTTGCATAATAATGTAACCACGGGCTGCCAGATATTGGGGTGAGATACAAAAAGGAGCCAAATAACAATTCAACTGCCAAGAACAGTGGAGTCTAAGAGTGCAGATTTTTATCACAATGATATAGGTGAAATATAACAGATGCCATTAAAAATACAGATACAGTCAGTGGCATGTACAGAAATGACTGGGTGGGGAAAATACTGTGAGCAATGGCATCTAAGAGCAAAACACCATATCTTTGCAGATCCAGTATCTATTAAAAACAAATTCCCATGCCATTTCCCAAAGGAAGACACTTTAATCTTGCCAAGTTAAAATCCTCTTTAAAAAAATTTTTTTTTAATTATTTTAAGTTTAGACTTACACAGCAGCTAGAGTATGCATGAGATAATTCGCATCATTTCTAAGAGCTTTGATGCTCTGGTAAAAGCATTTATTTAATCTGACTTTGCTGGCATTCTTTGGGCTGTGCAGTCTTCTTCGCCCTTCTTTTTGAAGTAGTCCTCCCATTAACAAACACTCACTGCCCCATGAGGTTCCTATCTAGTCTTTCAAGCTGCTGTTGTCAATTTGATCGCCTATGGATAGTTCTTAAAAGAGCATAATGTTCAAGGCCGTCCTTCTTTACTAGTTACAACTATAACGTGGTTTTAAGAAGACTTCGTGGGGTAGTTTTGCTTTAATATTTAAAGATGATCTTAGGGCAATAGTTTCAGAGGTTCATTCATCCAGCGTGGCTCCAGAAAGTCTAGAGTCTATGAGAGTTTAAATATCTTCTGCATTCCTCCTTTTCTGTCCAAGAGTCTTCTCTGGAATCTTTGATGAAAGTTTGCAGCAATGGTGGCTGGGCACCATTCAATTCTTCTGATCTCATGGCAAAGGAGGCAATTAGCCACACCATCTATATTCTCCTCCTATTCTTAACTCTCCTTCTTCCTGTTGCTCCAGATGAATAGAAAGGAATTATAGTACTGTGCCTTAGATGGCTGCCAACAGGCCTTTATGATCCCATGTACTTCACGATAAGGTGCAGAAGCAGCACTAAATTAAGCAAATTAACCGAGATGTTCTATGAAACCACGACCCTACATGTACCACTATCATCATGACCTCAATTCTACCTTCCAAATCGAATTAGACCAGAGCATGCACACTGCTACAGATAAGAGCCTGCAATGCAGGGAATCCAGGATCGATAAACTCCTCAGGGCCAACAAGGAGAGTAGAGATACCAGGAGGATTAGGGGAGGGTGGGGGGAGAAAGGGGGAACCGATCACAAGGATCAATCTATAACCCCACGCCAGGGGATGAATAACGGAAAAGTGGGTGAGGGGCGATGGAGAACGATGTAAGATCTGGAAATAATATAACTTATCAAGGGTTTGTGAGGGAGGGCAGGCGCGGGAGGGAGGGAGAAGAAATGGGGAGCTGACATCAGGGGCCCAAGTGGGAAGAGAATGCTTTGAAAATGATGGTGGCATATGTGCAAATGTGTTTGACACACTGGATTGTGATAACAGATTGAAGAGCCCCCAATAAAAGTATTTAAAAAATATTAATACAGATAAAATAAAAACAGATGAAAAAAACAAGCTGGACAATTTATAAGGAAGACCAAGAAAAAATGAATGCATTTGAATGACGGTATTTATGGAGAATGTTGTTAAAAGCAGACCAGGTCACCAATAGCTTATCCTAGTGTTATATTCTACGAGTCTTCACCTGTAAGTGGTAACTGACACACTTGAGTTGTAGCTTGATTTTCCACGGGGCCCAAGGTTATGAGCATACTAATCCAAATGAAAAGAGTGGCTATCTGTAAGCTTTCTTTCATCTTTCCTGATCTAGTTAAACCGTGGCCCCCAGATATTGCACATGGTCCACATGCTCACCTGGGAAATGACAGGTTACAGGTTTTAAGAAGGAAGGTTAAACAATCCACTTCAACCCTCCCACCCCAGCCCCCGCAAAACTAGTCACTGAAATTTCTATGATACACACAGGGTAGCCATGAGGCTGAATTCACTTTGTTGGCAATTGCGGGGTTTTTTTTTTAACCTTTTTTCAGTTCAAATTGATGAATTTTATTATCTAGTCACTTTGGTGGAACATTTTGAAATATGGAAATTCTCCTACCAACCTCTTTATCCTTATGACAACAACCACAGGATACATCTCTAACGTACACAATGTAACAAAGGTTTGAAACAACAGGAAGGTGGCATGGAGCAGGTACACAGGATGGATGAGGAAGGAAACAACTATCCAGAGTCACAAAGCTGCTCAGCGTTGCATCTGGCCTTTGGCCCCAAGCATATCTGAGTCCAGGCTTTGCTGCCATTCGGTTACTGCACATTTATAAACTAAACTGAAAGTATGGTCTGAAAGTTTAGGGAAAGAATCTGTACATTATATAAGAATCTCAATTCTGCTGATAAGTCTCCTACCCTGCTGTTACTGTTTTAACCCTGGCTTTCTATGCTCGACATCATACTAGTGCTAATGCTGTGGCTTCTGTTTTTTCCTATTGTATTTTGCCAGCCTCTCAAGTAATACAAAGATTGTTCTCAATTTAGAGTATTAATTGAGAACAATTTAGAGTATTAATTGTTCTCAATTTATAGTATTAACTGGATGGTGCAGAGATAATTCTTGAACTTTGTTTGAATTACTGAATGTAAAAATATTTCAGGTCCTCTCAGGTAACTTTCTTCACTCCTTTGGCTCTCCAGAAAGGTGTCCTAAAAAAAGTCCCCGGGCACTGATTTTCTGGGACTTCGATAATATGGCTTGCTGTACCCCAGCAGAGGCAGCCCCATTGTTTGGCTCCTAGCAACAGCTATTTATACTTCATTGTGTGTCATTTGATTCGATATAGATGTTTTTTCTAACCATACCCCCAAGTAGTTTAACTCTAGCAATCCCAAATCATTTAAAAAATTATCATCGTTTAGATCTATAACACTCGACCAGCACGTTCTCATATTCTGAATGTTGGGGGCGGCAGGGGGAGGCAGAGAAGGAATATCCTTTTGGGAGAAGCTCAAGCTGCCATTAAGGCTGATAACTCTACATTTATGGCCTGCATTTCTCTAAGATGAGCACAGTGAGTGGAGAGGTGAGGGGGCAGCTGATGGCAGGAACTGACAACAGATGAAATGGAAAAGGGTTCTTTGTGGGGTTTTTTGCCCCCCAAAGGGATGAGAAAATCAGTTTTCAAATTGAAGTGTCGTGGTAGTGGTGGGGATGTTGACCTTCATGTTTCAAATTTAGGAAAAAAGTTAATTCTCTGTAGATCTTGAATTTCTTAATTGATGACCCTTGAGGGCCAGCTGCTACAACAATGCCAGCTGTCTCCTGGCTATCACCCATATGCCACCATGCTAGGGCAGAGGGCAGAAAGGCCCATAACTTTTTTTGGCTTCTTAAAGGAATCTGTGAGGTCCCTGGACACCGGTCATTCAAGAAATAATGGACTGAATTCTTAAATAAACACATGCCAAACTATGCAATGTGCTTTGTCACCAATGAAACCAATAATTTTGAGATTTAATTATGAAATTTAAAAATTTGTTTTTAAATGGGAAAAATAAATTGGTTCACTGGACAAAAATGAAATTTCCTGGTTATTATGTTTGAAAAGCTAAATTAAGCAATGTTCTGACTAACATTGAAAAGGAAATGGCCTCTCCTTAAAAAAGAGGTGGGGGAGGGAGCAGGAGGGGAAAATTGGAAAGCATGAGAAAATACACAAAATGAAAGCATTTGCTGAAATGAGGGCTGCTCACACACGCATGATTGCTGCGTCCCTAGAATTCTCAGTTATGGGGTCTTTTAGTGGGATCTCCACAGAGCAGGCTTTGGCTTCAGGGCCAGGAAGTCTGCCCATGGAAGGTCCTCGGTTAAGCCACCAGCAGACACACAGCAGCAGGGTTAAGCAGACAGACAGGCTCCACCTGGGAGGGACCCAGCAGTGTTATCCCTGGCCACAGATGGACTGACCTTCCTTTAGACTTTTCTGGTTGCTCCCTTCAAGGCATTCCTTCTCTTTTAATGGTTCGAAATCCTCGGCCGTTAAAATCTCAGGGAAGCCCTGCTGCTGCTTCTTGGAGCTATCGATCATGGTGAGAGGCTTCTGGAGGCAGGCAGCATCAAGCGGCAGAGAAGCTCAATGCACCCAGCGGCAGAGCAAAGGGAGTGGAGATTCCTGGTCCCTGGGTCACAATTCGCTGGGCAGTTAAGTCTTTAAGTGGCCGCAGGCGGCCATTCCTTGCAGCTCCCGGCTTGACCTGCAGGCACGCTCCTGCTGCTGGAAGCCCGTACCTCTCCCACGTTGGGAGGCAGAGTCGTGGTGAGGGAGGCACGACTCTGAAATCCCACCCCTTTCCCAGCCAGCCCCCGCTCCTCTGCCATTCTAGCTTCCTCCGCGCCGGGGACTTCAACCCGCAGTTCGATGCTTCGAATCATCTGACAAACACTGCATCAGGCAGTTAAAAATAAATCCTCTAGTTAAGAGAGATGCCCGTGCCGATCTGGAAGAAAGACAAACAGCTGCCTGTGGTCTTGCTAGGATCTCTACACAGAACTGCAGGCTGTAGAGAGACTCCCGTGGCCCAAGAAGCGCACTCATTACTCACTAAGTTTTCCCGCTAGATGCAGCTAAAGGAAAACGGTCTGATCTCAGTAGGGGCACCACCCGCTCTGAATAAGCAAACAGACCGCCACCCAGTTCTTTAAGCAAAAAGTTCTCGTGCTGTCTGTACTCTCGGCTCTGCACTGCTCCCTTGGCGATGCAGCACTCTAGGTGATGGGTGGAAGGGCTTGTAGCTGCCCTTTGCTGCCTTGGACCGTTCTTCTCTGCGCAGTTTTCTCGGGTGCCACTAGTCGGCTGAGATTTTCTAAGGGGGGAAAAAATCACTCAAACCTTTAAAGGAATAATACGGAAAGCATCTACTTCCTGCCATCCCACCAGCGGCCAGCCCGTTTACTGCCACAGGAGCTGTCAGTCACGAGCACTGCTCCTTGACAGACTGCACTCATGACAGAGGGAGGCTGCACCAAGGAAATGAGGAGACAAGCCTCAGTTTACACAGATGCCAAATCTATGTCTATCTGTAGCTGGAACCCGAGGAATCCGTTTGTTTGTCTGGTTTTTTTGGTGGTTTTTGTTCACAAAGGTTCTATAACATCCATCCGATGTTATAAGGGCAGGGACATATGAATCCATAGTAATGCCAACAGAGTACCTGGAGTACTAACGCTGATTTTGAACCTCAGCTGAGTACTAATGCTGATTTTGAACCTCAGCTGCTCAAGCACCTCGGAAGAAAGACCTGGCAGTCAACTTCCAAACAATCACAATCATAGTCACTGAAAATCTTTGTGGAGTACAGTTCTACTCAGAAACAAGCAGCGTTACACAGCAGCAACAATATTAGGGAGTTCTCATTAAGTATTTGTTGTGTGAATGGAATTAAAACAAAGGAAAGCACAACAGAAAAATGTCTTCATAAACAGTACTCACTGTTCTCAAGAAGCCCCAGATCAATAAGCATCACTCGCTCTATTGGAACTTGATGTTCAAAGAAAAGATACAAGGATGTTTTGAATATGCATCTGAGAGGATCTTCTTGGGGATCAAAGAAAGGCTTTCATTTTTATAGGCAGAAAAATTAACATTCTTTTCACTATTTAAACAAGATCCCGGTGGCGTAGTGGATTATGCTTTGGGCTGTAAGGGCAAGGTCATTAGCCCTTTGGAGGCTAGGCTTTCTGCTCCTGTAAAGATTTACATCCTTGGAAACCCACTGGTGCAGCTCTACTCTGTCTTCCAAGGGTCGCCATGAGTCAGAATAAACTGGATAGTAGTGAGAAGAGAAATACAGCTGAGAAGCAGGAGATAGCGTGAAGCAATAAGTCTTTTGTCTCTGGTTCGGAAGCTGGTGTGCTGTTCTAGAGAGGCAGTTATCTACCCTTCTTCAGCGTCTCTTGAAAACGTGATTAAGTAACACATGACATGCTTCCTGGCAATGGAAATTCCTGCTGAAACAATTTAAGCCTGTCCCTGGTCATCCAAACCTCTGCCGAAACAAAGAGTGACAAGCTTATCAGGCTTCTCAAAAATGCCCTACATTTTTCTGCATCTCTATCTGATATGAAGGCTTTTATTCTTCTAAATGAACAACTCCCATTGTTTTAAGTGAGTAATAAAACCAATCTTTTTAAAAATGTTGCTTTGTTTTTGAAGACATACTCTATGTCAGTCACTTTATTAAATGTTTTGCAAAATTCATCCCATCTAATCCTCAACATTCCTTAGTGGTTCTCTGTGATTATCTATATGCTATAGACATTTTATAGATTTCAAAACCAAAGTCACAAAGTTTAAGTGGAAAGTCTGGAATTTAACCAAAGTCTTGGTTCTTCAAAACCCAAGTTCTTTTCCTTATAAAACAATCAGTGCTTCAGGCTTTTGTATGATATCAAAGTAGGTTTAACAGCAGAGGCCTCTGCTTTTATGGCCGCTTACCAATTCTACTCCTGGTGAGACAGAAGAAAATGATAAAAATCACACATACTAGAACACCTATTAATTTCCATGAAATAACGGTCAAATATATGCATATACACATATATTCCAAATTCATAGAACATTTTTCCACTAAGCTATCCATGAGTGGATTCTGATATGGCACTTCTTTATCCAAGTATTCTGGTGTGTACTTCCAAGGAAATTCTATGTAACCACAGCAGAAATGGCAGTATCTGGAAATAGACATCAATAATCCATAGACTCCTTTCCAGTTGTCCTATGAACATTTTTTTTTATAGCAAAAGTATTCAAACCAATGTCACATACACCAAGGTCACATACACCAAGGTCACATCTCTTCAGTGTTCTCCAGTCTTTAATAGTTTCTTGGCTTTTCTTTTCTGGAATTTTGAAGATAATTGGTCTTGGTTTATAGAATGAACTCAATTGGAGTCTGTCTGATGTGTCCTCATGATTTAGTTCAGGTGATGCATTTTTGGCAGGATTTACAGGGAAACAAGAGTGTGTTCTTTGCACCCCTTATCAGGTGGTACACAAATGCAATTTGTTCTATATGTGTGAAGTTATTTTGATCAATTGATTAAGATGGTACTTGCCAGGCTTCTCCATTCAAAAGTCAGTTTGTTCTTTTGTAATCTAGTTATTTTCTAGGGAGCTACTTTGAACCCAGTCCATGGATGTTCTTGGCTGAATTGTTTATTATTATGATAGTTGCCAAATGGTGATTTCAAAAATCTCTTAATTTCTTCTACATTTATTGGTGACACATCCTACTGCAAGGGAAAGGAAGCTCTTTAATTATCTATACCAGCATGGTCTCACAAATTCGTATTTTATTTAATGGGTTACAACCTGTTGCTATCATTCGTTATTTTGTGCTCACATTATCCTTATTTAGCTGGCATGAGCCCTTTCAAGAAGACTTTGGCTTCTTATTATCCTGATCCATCATTCTTTGAGCACTGGTTACTTGTTGGAAAACAGGACATTCCAGGCTCATCTTGTACTTTTCATGCCCCACCATTTCTCCAAAAGTTTTGCCTCTTTTTAGTAGAGAAAGATATTTATAAACCATGGTCTGAATGCAAAGGGTGCTCACTAGATCTTCTCTGAAGACAGAGGATGTATGGATGCCACTGCATGTGTGTATGTGTACATATATTTACTCTTATATATACAGATTTCAAGATAGAGCTATATTTAAAAATAGAAATAGAAGGTTAAGTAAAAACGTATTGCCACTAGGGTTCCAGTTCATACATGTACCAAGTTTATTACAAACAAAACATGGTTGAACATGTCTTTATGATCAGTGGATGGCTGCAGACAAGTTCTCTCAGTAATGCACTTGTCTTAGGTGGTATAGAGGGTTACATATGCAACTGCTAATATGCATATAAAGGTCGGCAGTTTGAACCAACCAGTGCTCTTTGTGAGAAAGAAAAGATTGTCTACTCCCATAAAGATTGAGTCTCAGAAACCCACAGGAACAGTTCTACTATAAGTTGGGATTGACTGGATGATAGTGGGTTTTTGGAAGCCTTACTGGTGTCTTCAAAAACGGTTCAGTAAGAATAGTGGCTTCTGATGTGATCTACCGGGCTAGTTAAATTCAAGGCAGAGAGGTCAGCAAGGGTTGTCCTAATAGTATTTCATTGGAAAACCTTACGCATTCTACCCTACAGACCTTATCTTGTCCCTTCATGCCTCTTTTTGTTCCCCAAACTCAAGGAATATTTAGGAGGATCATGATTTGAGTCCTTGGAGGATGCCAAAACTGTCATGGTATAAAGTGCAGACTAGAATTATTTGGGGAAGGATTAGAGAGATGGAAGTACCACCTTCAGAAATGTAGAGGGGCTCAGACAGAGGATGTTAGGGTTGTTGAGAATTTGTGATGGGCCCATGGTTTAAAGGCGAGATGACCAGTGGGTACCCAGGTGAGGCTAAGTGAGGAAGCCCACGTTGAGTTGACCAGAACCTGACCAGAACAGGAGAAGATTTCTTAGCCTGTGAACTGGTGCATATTGCTGCTGACTTTATGGATGGTCTGTCCTGATTTGACTTTGTTTATGGATATGGACTTCACTAGGTTCCAACTGGGATGAAGATTCTTCATGTCAAAGAATATGATTGTCTCCTCAGAGCACTGGGTTGACGTAAGTGGGCAGTATAGAGATTGGATACTCAAAATGGGGAGGATACAGGCATGAAGTGGTTGGTTTACAAATGTTCACAGGTGCTGGGATATGTTCATAGGATTATAGGATTAAAGTGCAGGTGTTACTTAACTGCAACTGTTAGGCATAGGATATATTTGTTTTGTTCACTTATAGAATGTTTTGTTTAAATGAGGGTGGCACATATTGAATTGTATGCATTTTAGTTTTATCCTGTTAGGTATAGATATGATTTTTATTATTTTCTGTTTGAAAATTATATATAGCTAAAGAGTTGTGTAAAAGTGTCAAACTGACAAGGGGTGGTCTATGGTAGTTACATAATCTGTTGTCAATTTGAGACTTAAGAGTGAAGGGGTGGAGTTTAGCCTGTTAATCAGGTCACAGCTTGCTTGATGACCTTCATTTGGAGGCCTTAAAGAGATAAATAGCTCGCTGGAGGTGGAACACATACACACTCCCTGCGAGATATGCTTGCCGACAAGACACACAGAGCTACGCTAGAGTCCTGGAGCTGAAGGAGCCATGTGGTGACCCTTGCCGGTGCTGAGATGCCTCTACTGCCACTGTATCTATAAGACTTTGCACC